AATGCACAATAAAATAAGCTTTATTTAGGAACTTCGCGCACACTGCCGACAGCTGCCGTTTCGCTCTGCTCGCTACTCGTAAGATTTCTCCTCTAGGGTTTCCACACTTATCGGAGGGCGCAATGCCGCTCCTTATCGCCATCACCACAGAGTTTCCCAGTTCCTTTAAGGCTATTCAAAGAACGACATGGTTATAAATATCTCAAGTATCCTTGCTGTCGGTATTTTTATGATTACAAAATTAGAATATTAAAATTAAAAATCAAAAGCAATTCAATATATGACAGGTATTGACACATATATAAACATGAAAACAAAAATATGTTAAGATATGAATTTAAAAAAATGTTTTAAATTGTTATGTAAGAAGCAAGTTTCTTAGGGCGGGAACATGTTTCCGATCTGGTGACATTTGTGTCTTAGAGAGTTCATTTGCAGATTTATTCTGCTGCTTTAAGTCTTTATTTGTTTTCAGTTCAAATTAGAGTCCAAAAGCAAATAAGCTGATTTCACACGGTCTGTAGACACAGTAAATTTCAGACCGTTAATATGAATTGTGAAAGTTTTGTCCATTCTAGAAAGGACTTTATGTGGACCTGTGTATGGTTGGCACAGAGGTGGGCTTTACTCGATCGACACATAAGTATACATGCGTACACGACTTTAAGATAGCATTTACGTAACACTTTTCTTGGCAATGTGCAGATGTTGCTATTGGATTTAATTGTTTTATGCTATGCTGAAGATTTATGATAAATTGAGTGTCATATGGAGATATCTTAGATGACGTTATCATATCACTAGCAGCTTGAGAGTTGTGCCGTACACCAGTTCAGCACAAGATGACTGTAGATCTTCCTTTACGGCTGTCCGAATACCAAGCATAACAACTGGTAGTGTTTCAGTCCAGTTATTGGTCTCGTGAGCCTTGAGAAGATTTTAAATGTCGATGAAATCGTTCAACAATGCCGTTGGACATTAAATGATAGGCTGTTGTTGTGATTCTGTTCGTACCCAAAATGCGCGTAAATTCTTAAAAAATTGCGGATCTCATTTGAGAACCTTTTATGATCGATGAGCAGCCAAAACGAGATATCCAACAGTTGAAGATGGCTCTGCAATGGTTTCTGTTTCATATCCGGGATGGAATGGCTTCAGGCCATCTGGAGAATCTATCTATTAGAGTCAAAGGTACACATGCCTTCTGATGGAGGTAACGGTCCGACGATATCCATATGGAGTTCTGAAAAACGTGCATCAGGAAGAGAGAATGTGCCCAGTGGTGCTTTAGTATGCCTAGTAATTTTCGATTTTTGGCAAGATTCACAGGATTTCACCCAATTTTGATATGACTTTCATATCGGGCCCTACATAACGAGAACAATAAGCTTCGTAGTAGCTGCAATTCCTGGATGTGACAGATTATGCAGATGATTAAAGATGAGTCTGCGAAAGGATTCGGAACAATGGACGAGGAATGTCTGTTGATATGTCACAAAGAATATTACCATCAGAATATTGGCACGGTTTAAATTCCAGTTTCAAATTATGATGTTGTTTTGAGAAGTCTTGTACCTCCGGATCATGCCGTTGAGCTTCCGAAAATTTTTTAAAATCCAAAAATGGAGATTTTGTTATGGAATCAATTTCGATTCTTGAAAGAGCGTCAGCAACGACGTTTTTTGAACTTGCACATGCCTAATATCAGTAGAGTACTGAGAAATAAAATCTAAATGGCGCAATTGTCGAGGTGAACATTTATGAGGGTTCTGTTTAAAAGCGTATATTAACGGTTTTTTGATCCTTATAATTATAAAATTTTCTGCCCTCTAACATTGTCGGAATTTCTTAATTGCAGAATAAAGAAAATAATTCCCTATCGTACGCGGGACCATTTCTGTTGACTTTTACTGAGTTTCATAGAGAAAAATGCTATAGGTTCCCATGTTTGTTGAGACAACTGCATAAGTGGTGCCGCCGATTGCGATGTCTGAGGCATCTACCCAGATCTACCCAGGCTTAGCTGGGCTCCGGAATAGGGTGTCTCAAAAGGGTAGCCTGAGCAAGGCATTTTTGGCAGCAATAAAGGCTTGTTCAGCATTCTCGTTCCAATTTAATTGTGGGGAATCCTGAACACGAGAACGAGATTTCTTTTTATTAATATCCTTCTAACAATTTTATTAAAGGAGAAAGATATGTGCTGCTTTAGTATGAAACATCTATAAAAGTTAAACATGCCTAAAAATCGGCGAAGCTGAGTGAGAGTGGTAGGTTGAGGAAAATCTAAAATACATTTGACTTTGTCAGGAAGAGGTTCAATTCCGTTTTCACTAGGTGAAAACCTAGAAATCAATAGACGTTTGACAAAGGTGCATTTTGAAACATTTATGCAAGTCCATTCCTGAAGTTTGGAAAATAAAGCTTTCAAATGCCTGCAATGTTCCTCAGAATCTTTAGAGGCTATGAGCAAGTCATCGACAAAGCGTAAACGCCTTCTAAACCCCGCGTGACTTCATCTATAAAACGTTGAAAAGTCGCAGATGCATTGCATAAGCCGAATGCATACGGATACTTTCGAATAAACCGAATGGTGTCATATGGCGGTTTTGTGATGTCGGCTGGGTTAATTGGTATTTGATGGTATCCTTAATCAGGTCGACATGACTAAAAATTTTAGTACCGTGCAATGCAGCAGTAAAATCGGCTAAACATGGAATAGGGTATTTGTCTTTTATTGTTTGAGCGTTCAATGCTCGATAATCTCCTACGGTCTCCATTCCAGACTTCCCTTTTTTGGGAACCATGTGAAGTGGGGATGCATAATTCTGCTGCTCGAAGGTCTCAAATGCCCCAATTGCCATCATAGTTTGAAATTCTTGTTTTGCTATTTTTAAGCGATCTGGAGCTAACCGACGAGGTTTTGCAACCACAGGTGGACCTTTAGTTATGATATAATGAACGGTTGTTATGTTTAACAGGTTGGTTAGGATCTGGTAATCTAGTAACTGAAGGAAATTCTTTTAAAATTTTGTGATAGGTGTATCACTAAATACAGTTTTTACTGAATAAATGCTTGCATTTTTCACGCAACCGACGGTTTTAAAATGCGTTTTTAAATCTTTGAGACATTTGTTTCTGAGATCAGGCACCAATTCAAAGAAATGGAGAAAATCTGCTCCAAGAATGGGTGTACTAACATTTGCTATAAGAAAAGTCCATGTAAACTGTCGTCTTAATTTGAAATCCAAAGAAAGTGTTTTTTGACCATAAACATGAATAGTAGAAGAATTAGCAGCGAAAAGTGTTTGTTGGGACGAATTCCGTTTGTCAGAGCCGGTATCGACCAAGAATGAAAGGTTTGTTCTACGGTCACGAACGAACAGGCGACGTGAAACTTGAGGCAAAGAATAAGTCGCCTCTATTCTTTGCTGGTTTCGTTTCCCTCCCTGCCATGAACAAGGTTTTGTACATTTGTCATCTCTACACTTTTTCCCAAAACGCCTATGATACCAGCAAACGAATAATCTCTCCTTTTGGAATTGCTTCTTTCCTTATTGCGATCTCCGCGATTTGGCGAGCGACCACGAGAAAGAGAATGCGATCAATACGTTTGTTTAATTTTTCTATTTGTTTAAATAATTTATCCTCAAGAGACTGATCGACTGTGCGAGAAACGGCACAAGTCCCTGGGGTTGGATTTACTTCTAAATTCTGTCGGCAATTTCTGCAGCTTTATCTACAGTTAAATTGGAAACCGCTGCCAAAATAGACTGAACAGTCGAAGGCAAACGTTGAAGGAATAATTCTAACATTAAGTTATCAGGAACATTTTAAAGATTCTGCTCGACGTTTCATATTTCTAAGCAAATCGGAAGGTTTTCGAGAACCTAATTCTTCTCCAGATAATAATTGGCGAATTTCTTGCTGAGAAGATTCTCCTGAACGATTTATTAACTCAGTTTTAAGCTTTGCATATGGATCAATAGGGTCTGGTTTCATAAGTAAATCCCGTACTATTGATGCAATATCTGGAGGAAGATGAGCAACTACATAATTATATTTAGTAATGGATTCTGTGATAGGTTTGGGGGTGGCAAGAGCAAAGGTACTTTCACACATAATAAACCATAAAGATGGGTCTGATTGGTTATAAACCGGCAATTTGGACGGCATGAACATCAGACATTGTGCAAGGTTTTTAAGCCAAAAATAAAAGGCAAAAATTTAACTAAAGAAAATGAAATTAAATGATAAGTAGAAAACAGAATTATAAAATGATCTATAATTAGCTACTCATCTGTGATTTGGAGGATGAAAAACCGGATATAATCCATTACTTCTGGTTTGGAGATCTTGAGTGATGGCCTTGTAGTCAAAACCGAAAGTGCTTGAGAACTGTTCATACGGCCTGATTTAAGCACAGTTCAGGGTTACCATTATGGTGATTCCTATCATGTTGTTACCTGTATGTTTTACCACCAATGCTCGAATTCCATATCACAGATTATGTTCTTACTGTATTAATATAAATATTAACAAGACATAGTGCACAATAAAAATTAAGCTTTATTTAGGAACTTCGCGCACACTGCCCGACAGCCTGCCTGTTTTGCTCTGCTCGCTACTCGTAAGAAATTTCTCCTCTAGGGTTGCCACACTTATCGGAGGGCGCAAGGCGCGCTCCTTATCGCCATCACCACAACTTCCTACCTCCAAGATGTCTGCCAAAGAATTACTTGTCTTCATCGATTCTGAAATGAAGTGAAGGAAGCAAAGTCATATGAAAAAGCAGACGATGAATATCGGACAGAAAAGTAATTTGGTTTAATCCTAGTATCTGGTGCACACGGGATTTGGCTACTTTTGGCGACTTTATGATGAGCAGTAAAAACGGGACATATACGATGAGTAGTTAACGGGTCATTCAAAGAAAACATAATAAACTTAGTATATACTTAGTATATATAATAAACTTAGTATATACCATGTATATAGTACATATACTATGTGTGTATAGTATATATATAGACGTTTTTTGGATCATTTTTGGTGTTGGCGATAATTTTTAAAGTCGCGCCAAGGCTGCACCGTATACTAGGATTTTACCAGTAATTTTTATTGTATAACAGAGTCTGCATTTTGAGTTTGTTTCCTTGATTATTAAAATATGGCAGGCACATCTTACACTTCATCTGTTTCGATTGTGGCTAAAGCTCTGAAATCTCAAGTAATGATCTGTATATTGTTATTATAATGTCAGTTCTTTCAGTATAGGAAACATATTAAATCTTATCGTTTATATTTTGGATATTGTTTGAAGTATCTCTTTCTAATTGTTTGTTTTGGTAAGCGTTATTATGTTAGGAAGTATTATAAATAATAACTTCTAATGAAAGCAAAATGCTAAAATAATGGCGTAATATTTATGTGTATAATTATGAATGAATGAGTGTAGTTGGATAATTGTTTTAAAATTATCTTTTTGATGAACTCCTCACTCTGCTGATTTATAAAGAACTGAGAACAATGCTTTTTTCATTCTGTCATTTTTAAATATCTTTCTTGCTTTAGTATACATAGTTGCACAATTCAAATTTGAAAAGATGCTATTTTCAAACAGATTTCTTTGTGAATTTTATTCTTTATCTGAGTGCATTGCTCTGATTATTTTTTTCGCAGTAGTTTGTTTCAACATTATAAAACCGTGAAGAAAGTCTCTAATATTTGAATGTCATTTGTTTGATATTGTTAGCAATACTTTGAATAAAATTGTGGGGAAATAGGTTTAATTTGTGTATTTTATAAATTTAGTTTGGATTTGTATTTTCTACTCGTACTAAATATTTATCTTTCCTTTTTTTTCCTTGTCTGTTTATGTATTTTTTAATGTTATTCATATTGTTAGTAAGAAAACGAATGAGTACTTGATTTTGGCTTATTCCCTTCATTATTTATTGATTTGGAAAGATTTAATTTACAGGGAGTGCAGTATGCGTTTGGAGTTGTTGGCATACCTGTAATTGAAGTAGCTACAGCATTGCAAGAAGTTGGGATAAAGTACATTGGAATGAGAAATGAACAGGCTGTAAGTAAAATCTTCATTAAAATATAGGTTCATTTATTATAATTAATGATTCAAAGTCTCAAAATATCATTGCCATAGTATTATCATATTTGTCAGGAGTATTGTTGACCGTTTTGGAACTGATTACACTGTTATCATGGAGGTAAATAAATGAGAAGGAAAGAAAGAACAGAAAATCTTGGATGGAAAATTACTGTAGGATCAATTTTCATTATCCCCTTTTATTTACAGAGATGTGGTTATAATGAGCATGCTACTCATGAAATGGAATAAATAAATTATCATAATTTTTATTTTGGTAAGGTTTCCTGTTGGCAAACAAGTACCAAATTAACTTGTAAAAATGCAGTTGTTTAAAGCCATATTAATTTTAGAGAGAGAGAAAATTTTATCATAAACTTTGATGGTACTTGTAGTATTGCGTGTATAAAAAATGTGGACTGTAAAAATCACAAATCAGGAAGAACACAGAAATAATAATAATAATATAATAATAAAAAATCTGGAATGTTTAAAGAAAAACTTACCAAAATTACATGCTTGGCTAATCTTTACTGTACGGTACCCCTTGGTTTTTATCTGAAAAATTGACAAGTAGTATTGGTTGTTTGTGAAATTTGGAAGCCCGCTGCATGAAATAGGTTTTTCAGTAACCCTAATGTTGATAATGTTAGAAACTAGCCGTGGGGAAAATTTTAGGTTTTTTTAGTTTATGTCATTAGAAAGGGGTTTTTTATGTGAATATCGCCAAATGCCAATCATAAATTTAGATTTTGGCTACTTTTTGTAATAGTAACCCTTTCATATGGACCTGGTTTTTTGGCTCTTACCATTCTTTTCAATTGTTGTGTTTGGTTGCATGTGCGTGGTATGGTCTTGTATTTTGAACTCACTATTATTTTGCTGTGGGTACTGTCATTTGAATATGTCTGAGGTGACTAAGAGGATGAATGTTGGTGGGGTGAATTATGATGAAATTCTGAATTTGAGGTTTTTGTATGGGTTGGATGATGGATGAAAGACATTTGATTTTTGCATGAAAGTTGCTTCAGTTGCTGACAGATACGAATGAGGCAAAACGATGAAAAATTTAATTGAATTGCTTACCTGGAGGATGGAGGAGATGAAAAATTTAATTGAATTGCTTACCTGGAGGATGGAGGAGATGGTAGTGAAAAGCCTAAACAACGTGCAACGTGGAAAAACGGTATGCTAAAAAATTAGTGTTTCATTTATTTACTTGTCTCTGTGTGTTAATTTTTGTTAAAAGATTTGTTATTTAATATTTTTATGTTAGGAAATATGTATTTTTGGTTATTTATTCCTCTCTGTTTTGTATTTGTGGTTATTTATTTTTCTCTGTGTGTTAAGACAGCTGTGAATTTTTTTTGGTTACCATGATAGTTTTAACTTAGCTTCCTGAATTTGTTTAAGTGAAAATAAATTAATGTGTACATGGAAAAAGTTAAGGCAGTGCACAATGCCTAGTTTGTGCAATTCTCTGATGTTTCTTTTAAGTTAAAATAGGTCGATGTGTACATGGACACTGAGTTTGTGTAAGTCTTTGGCTTCTTATTTTGGTTTTTTGTAGCGGCCATCTTGAAATTGGGGCCGATCTTAGCGCCAAAAACAAAACAATTCGCCAATGGGTACCGTAGAGTAAATTTTTACCTCATGCTTATTTCTTCCTTTAATTTCTGATGGCTATGAATATACAGTTGTTGTTAATATGGTTTCAAAAAGATTTTTCTTTCTTGTATGCCAATTTTAATTTTAGAATTTTTTTTCCCCAATGGCAGGCACTTGCCCATAATGGCATTGGCCACTACTAAGAGCAGATGGGCTGGCTATTTTATTGTAGAGACACCTAATAGGCTACAACCACTATCTCTATGAAGGCACAGACAATTTTACATCCATGCCTTCTCCGGGATTCAAAACCGGACCCTTTGGTAGTGCATTCAGGCTCCCTTACCACTGTACCTTCTTGGCGGCTGAATTTTACAAGTAGTACGTGGAAATCGCTGAATGCTAACACAAATATTTTCTTATGCCTACAGCTTCTAAGATTGCATCTCCAAAAGCTTTCATCATTAATTTATAAGTGCATTTTATGATACTTTTCTCTTTTCTTTTAAATTTTTCTCATTTCTTTTTTAAAAAAATGGTTAACATATTTCACATTTAAAAGAATGGTCAATATACACATTCAGTTTGTCTATAGTACATGGAAATATTTTTCTTGAAAGAACAGGTTGTGTGTGCAGGATGTCAGGTTACTACCTGACGTCCTAGTTAGTATTCAGTCAGCAGTCTATTTTGGAAATTAATTGTGCCAAATCTGTTTCCCCCCCACTATGGCTTCTATAATATGTTTAACCCTCTGACCGGCCCAGATTTTCACTAATAAAGAACAAATTTCCCAAAACTACCATGAAAAAAAATTATTTTCTTGATTTTAATAACAAAGTGCCCCTGGTATTTTATACCTGGATTTATGTATGTGTTATATGTAACCTTAATTTCTTGAATATATTTTTTATATCTACGCATATATATATGCATGTTGTTACAGACATCGCAAAAAATATTCTTGACCATGTATATATGGCCTTGCAGATCAGAGAATACATTTCCTAAGTCTTTAGTAGCTTGCTAAAAATTAAACTGATATTATAACATGAAATATTTATTGCTTACAAATACTATTGATATGAAACTTCACTTCCTCAGTTTTTTTAAATTTTTACCAGCATCTTGTTCTCTTCTATTTGAAGAAAAAAAACTTGTATGCCATCATTCAATTTCCTGTGCAGTTTTTCATGTTACTATTTTTATGGCATCATTCAGTTTTAAATTTTAGGTATTTTACAGGCTTCATATGCTGCTGGTGCTGTTGGATATTTGACTAAGATGTGAGTATTGTCTGTCTATCAAACATTTTAATAACATGAATTCATATCTATGTTCACATTTTACTAATTCAAAGTAAATTTCTTGTTGCATTATCATATATAAGAAAAAATGACAAAGTTCTGAATAAAATAGAAAATTAAATAAATAGATAGATAAATAAATAAATTTTGTTCAAATTATATGAATATTTAAAACAAGAAATGCTAGACTATGTGTTTGAAAATAACTGTATGAAGTAACAGAAATGGAAAATTGTGTTATGAACATGGTGTATATAATAAGTCTAGTAAAACATTAATTTGCAAAACAAATTGACTATGTAGAAATTACAGTACTTTGTGTTAATACCACCAATTTGATTGATTTTTTTCAGTTTGGCTCAGTTTTAAATTTTGTTCGTCAATTAATGCAACTGTACTAACAAAGTTGTCACATTGGAAGAATAATAGAAGTTTTAATAGAGATTCTGGGGGGGATATATTTATTTATGTTCTCTATTAAAAAGTATAACACACATTGGTAAATATGAAAAATGTGAAAAGATTTGTTGCAAATCAAAAGTATGCAATTGTTAAACAACATACAATATTATTAAAGAATGATTTCAAAAGAGGTCAAAAGTTTTTCAAAGTGAGCAAAATTTCACTTGATGTACCATTTGCACCAATTTTAACTTTTTTTTGCAACATGAATACAGTCAAAAGTCGTTAATCTGGACTCATTGGGACTTCGGCGGTTCCGGATTATCGATTTTTCTGGATTATACATCATCATCAGTTTAAATCTGGTAAGGTGGCATGCAGAAATTATAAAATTAAAAATATGAAACCATAATTTATGAAATAAAGAACAATTATGATCTAAAGGGTTGTAAGATTTATATTTATTTTAACTAACGTTTATTTTAAGTTTAAGCTATCTTTCCTGTCAAGCCTTTACTTTCCCCTAGAATTGCCAATGCCAGAGTATGTAAATTGTAGTAGAACGCACAGTATATTCAAATTTTAGCAGAAGTAAGTTGAGTTTAAATAGAAGGGAAACGAGATTGTATGTGTGCTTCTTGAATCGCGAGCGTGAAGTTTGCTAGGTAGAAATTTAAGAACCGCGCGTTTCGGCCTGTGTGCCTATTTCGGCAGTTCGTTGAATCTTCAACTGCTTAATCAGTAAGCTTGCTGAATCTCAGCTGTATCTTAGAACGCGGTTAAGTTAGTTACGATTTTAGAGCCTCGTAGGTAGTGATCTCGTTATTTATTGATCCTGACATTTATTTTTAGTTTTACATTTCTGTTTTGTTAAACCGCCGGGTCGGCGTAGTTTGTGAGCGTCAAGTGAACACAGCTGTTATTTCTAAAGTGGAATAAAAAGCGATTTAAACCCTTTTTACGAGTTTGTTTAATTTACAGTTCATAGCAGTCACTAGCACTGTTGCTGACAAGTTGATGCCATGCAACACTATAGGGTATCAAAATTTACAAAAAAAAGCTTAACATTTATTTACTTTATTAAACATTTCTTTCAATGTAAGTTGTTTAAGTTGCTTTGTTTTATGTGATAATACTTTCTCTTTAATTCTATAAACAGACATAATTTCTTGTTCAGTTACAAAGTTCCGCTGTTCAAGTCCTATAATTGTTGTGTCGAGAATACCGACTAATTTGTCAATCGAAATTTTTTCGTTTTCAGTAACCTCTGTGTCACTTTCTTCACTATCAGAAGCAAAATATAATGACGAAGAATCATATCAAAGACGTAGTACAACATCGAGATGAAAATACTACATTTAGTAAGGAATTATAAGCCAAATAAAATAAAAACATCTACCCTGAAGATAAGGATAGTGCTGACAGATAAACTTCCAATTCATTGCACGCCGTGGCGTTCCCCCCCCTCCAGAGCAGCATGAAATTGATAAACAGATTTCGGAATGGTTTGAGAAACAAAGGATATGCCTTTATCTATTTTTTGCAGCAATTCCACTTTTTGTTTAATGGACTTCGAAACATACTTTCGCTATGTAGATCCTTTACATATTAGTAAATATATATTGGAAATTCTATTTGACATAGTCGAAAGTTCAAGCTTACTTTTATAAAATTGCTCTAACAGTCTGCAAAAAATAATAAGCCGGATCCAATTCGAAGATTAAGGAACAACGCAATCTGCCGCAATAACTGAATTAGATAATTTTAGCTTAGCTTGTGCCGTCCGTTATACATTAAATGCACATGCGTAAACATATTATGCGCACACGCATATTCGCAGCCCTAAAGGTGTTACGCACATGCGTAAATGCCTATGCGCATAAAGTTTGTAGCTTTGAGGTCCGGATTATAGATCACATTCTGGATTATGGTTGTCCGAATTAATGACTTTTGATTGTACATAAAACTGCAGGGCAATTATATTTGGTGGCAAAAATTGAAAAAGTGATTCACCATTTATAGTTATCTGTATTTTACCCATTTATAGTTTACAGATGCAAAATCCCATTTCAAGATAACGGGGAATGGCAAATTAGCATCTAAATAACTATTTTGTATTCCAGTCAAAAGTCATTAATTCAGACACCCATAATCCCGAATGATCTATAATCTGGACCTCAAAGGACCGCCGCGGCACGCAATGAATTGGAAGTTGATCTGTCAGCACTATCCTTATCTTTAGGGCAGATGTTTTTATTTTATTTGGCTTATAATTCCTTACTAAATGTAGTATTTTCATCTCGATGTACTTCATCTTTGATATGATTTAAATCAAATTCCTCGTCATTATAATTTGCTTCTGATAGTGAAGAAAGTGACACAGAGGTTATTGAAAACGAAAAAATTTTGATTGACAAATTAGTCGGTATTCTCGACACAGCAATTATAGGACTTGAACAGCGGAACTTTGTAACTGAACAAGAAATTATGTCTGTTTATAGAACTAAAGAGAAAGTATTATCACATAAAACTAAGCAACTTAAACAACTTACATTGAAAGAAATGTTTAATAATGTAAATAAATATTAAGCTTTTTTTTGTAAATTTTGATACCGTTTAGATCATAATTGTTCTTTATTTCATAAATTACGGTTTCATATTTTTAATTTTATAATTTCTGCATGCCATCATACCAGATTTAAACTAATGATCTATAATCCGGAAAAATCGATAATCCAGAACCGCCAAAGTCCCGATGAGTCCGGATTAACGACTTTTGACTGTAATTCATATGCATGGATGAATAAATAACAACAGAAGATGGTAATTATTCATCCATGCATATGAATTATATGTCTTCTATTAGCCATATTAAAAACTTTTTGCTAATTTTCTTTCTTTATGCTTTTCTACAATAGTGTTAAGTCATTAGGTTTTGAAAGCAAAAACATGAAAACTGTGCAACGCACTCAACCAGGGATTTGAACGCTAGACCTCATGAGTGCTAGCCAGATATGCTTCTAACTATGCTACAAATTTATGCAATAAGGGGGAGAAAATGCCTCATGCTTTGTACCATTTGAGAATGATTGAAAGAGTATAAAAATACTTTATATTGTGATAACCCAAATCTCATAAATATTTTAATTTGAAACTTGGGTTTTATAATTCCTCCAACTGGAAACTGACTTCTAACTAATGAATTACCCATACTAAACCTGGAATTTAAGATGTGTGATTTGTGGGACTGTAGTTTATTAGGGCATAAACTTGAGATTTTATATTTTTTTCACTCTAATATTATTACCAGTGTCTGAAAATCAGTAGTAGAAGATAATGTCCAACATGTACAACATTAGACCAACATATACACATAATATAATTAGATTGATAATGTACATCCTCTCAGGAAAAAATGAGGAGACAATTCTGTATGTCTGATTTTATTTGGAAAATTGACGAAATTCAACTACGATGTGTCGAAAGGGCCACTTAGGATATGCATTAGATTTATGTATACAGTCAAAGGTCTTTAATCCAGACATCCCTAATCCGGACCTCAAAGCTACAAACTTTCTGTGCATGCGTCAATGCATAATGCGTTAACGCATGCACATAATACGTTTATGCATGCGCGTTTAATGTATAATGGACAGTATAAGCTAAGCTAAAATTATCTATTTCAGTTCATGTTGCAGATTGCGTTGTTCCTCAATCTTCTAATTGTATCTTCTAATTGTATTTATTATTTTTTGCAGACTGTTAGAGCAATTTTATAAAAGTAAGCCTGAACTTTCGATTATGTCAAAAAGAATTTTCGATTCTGGAGCTACCAAAGGATCTACAAAGCGAAAGCATGTTTCGATGTCCATCAAACAAAAAATGGAATTGCTGAAAAAAATGGATAAAGGCATATCCTTTGGACGCATATCCTTCAGTGCGCAATGAACTGGAAGTTGATCTGTCAGCACTATCCTTATCTTCAGGGCCGATGTTTTTATTTTATTCAGCTTATAATTCCTTGCTAAATGTAGTATTTCATCTCGATGTACTCCATCTTCGATATGATTTAAATCAAATTCCTCGTCATTATAAATATCATGAATACACATCAAATAGTTTTCTGGTTGCAATTTTCTAATTTCGACTATGCGTAATGTATGCTTTACGCATGCGCGCGTTGAAAGAAATGTTTAATAAAGTAAACAAAAAAATATAAAGCTTTTTATTTTGTAAATTTTAATATTCTTTAGATCATAATTGCTCTTTATTTCATAAATTATGGTTTCATATTTTTAATTTTATAATTTCTGCATGCCATCTTACCAGATTTAAACTGATGATCTATAATCCGGAAAAACCAATAATCTGGAATCGCTAAAGTCCCAACTGGTCCGGATTAAAGACTTATGACTGTATATAGCGTTATTTTAACATGTGAGTTTTGGTACAAAATTAGACTTTTTGAAACAACATGGCAATATTTTTCCATATTTCGATTCTGCAACTCAAATTATGCCAATGCCAAGTTTTATAGAATTCGTAGCAACAGTTTTTTCAAAATTAATAGTAAAAATTTTAATCTTGCTATATTAATTAAATTTTGCATATATTTAATAATATCAACTTAATAGTTTAGTTTAATAATATAAACTAAACTTACTTAATTTGCTCTTTCATAATTCGAAGTTTTATGAAATAAAATTCATACATTTTTTTTGATTTATTTTGAAAATTATTTTTTTGAAAACATATTTTGAATTATATAAACTGTCAAATTTTTACCATCACCTTAAAGTAGATAGATGCATTTCTAGATATACCTTAAAAAGATTAGAGTTTTGGATTCAGAATTTCCAAAGATATATGTGAATTATTTTGGCACATTTTAAAATTTGGCATATTTGTTATAAGCAATAATTATGCCAAATGTAGCTTATGCACATTTAAATGCAAGAGTTATTTAGAACTTTGAACTTCCACATAAAATTTTACTGAGAATTTTTCATCTGGAATTTTTTTTTTACTTTCATTTTTCTTAATAATGCCTAATAAATATTTACTAATAATTTATGAAAAGATATTTTTTAAGTTTATAAAGAATGTTAATTGAAAGTTAAATATTTTCCCTTTCCTGACAGTGAATATACTACTTTATTGTTTGCTATTTTATTTAAACTGAGATAAATCTGAGTTAGCTTTCTCTTTAGGTGGGTACTGGTGATGTACTGGGTGATACTGAGACACCTGTAGGAGTACTTCTGCGGAAAATTCCAGAACTTTGAAGTGCTTATTTTGATAAAATAATTTTTTTTTATTAACCTATCATCGAACCTGTGTTCATTCAGTCTATTACGAACCCATATGCATGCAACACTATTTAGTTTGGTAGTGTGTTTTCTTAAGTCGTATGGGATGTGCTGATGATTTAAAAAAAAATTTTTTTTAAAGGATAAATTCCAGTTTTCAGTTTACTTTCTCTTTTCTGTCTGTTTCATAATATAAATTTTTATAGCCCAGGTGTCTGCCTTGTAGTGTCGGGTCCAGGTTTAATACATGCTTTGGGAGGCATGGCAAATGCTCAAATTAATGGATGGTAAATATATTTAAAAATATACTAGGATTATCTTTAATATGGATATAGATTTGTTTAATAATAATATACTTTTCATTTCATTCTGTCTTTATATGAAGTGTCTAAGATTATTAGAGCCTTTTCATGCAGTATCATTTTTCATGCCACATATCACAATTCAATATTATTTTTTCTGATGGCTTTTTCTTAGTACATATTATCACTGTCAATTTATTCATTTTAAGATATTAAATTTATCATATTTTTGATATTGAGTAGTCTTTATTGTCAATATGTTCGTTAGCTCTTAGTCATGTTAACATTTCATAATATTATATTTCCTCATCAATGTATATTTATATAAATGCGCTCATTTAAAAGTTTTCAGTTAAAGGAATTTTGCAGTCAACCCAGATAATAATTTTTCAACAAAAAATTGGGTATATGCTTTACTTTTTTCTAACCACACTTTTCTTACTTTTTTCATATAAAATGTGGGTACTCTTCTGTTATCGGGACCAGATTCACAAATGTATGTATGTGCATATGTATTTGTTGTGTGTATATGTTACGGTGAAACACCGAAATCTGGAGAATGTCGACTTTCACCGGTGAATGTCAACATTCACATAGTCACTTGGTATATGTCCGAAATATTTTCCAAATACTCTTATTTCTGACTTACACCGTGTTACAGTTTATGTAGCTGGCCACGAGAGGGCGCAGCATTTTTTACTTTTAGCTTGTTATATTTTTCTTACCGCATTGCGGATTTTTGAGTTAGATGTAGTGGCAACAACAACAACAACAACAAAAAAAAAAGATGATGAATGTTCTAATGTAAGCATACAATTCTTGTACATAGCTGTAAATAAAACTTCTGTGTGATAAAAATGAAAAGGAATTCCAAGCGTTCCTGTGGATATTTATTAAGAAAGGTAAGCAAAATTTCACTTATCGATGTTATTAAAATGTAAATAATAAGAATAAGAAAAGAGATCATAAGTTGCAACATGGTGCCGAAACCCAGGATAACAGTGATCTTTAGATATATTGTGATTTAAGTATTTATTATTGTTCGATTAGTGATTGAATATTGATTATTAAGATGGATAAGTTAAAAGCACTAAAAAAGAAGCGAGGAATGTTAAGAGCATCAGTAACAAGACTGATAGCTAAAATGGAAAAGGAAATAGAATCGGATAATATTAAATTTGATTTATTAGAAGATGATTTATCCATCTTAAATGAAAATGAAAACGATATACTAATATTGAACTCTGAAATCGAATCTATCCTAACAGATGAAAAAGAGTACGAAACTGAATTACAGGATAGCTTGGAATATAAAAATAAAATTACCTTGTGTAAATCGAAGATCAGTAGAATATTTAGAAATAGAAAATGTGTTAAATTAAATGAGTTGCCATATAATTCTGCTACTATAGATACGGTAGAGAACACAAATACAAATGGCGTTAAACTTCCGAAACTAACCATAAATAAATTTAAAGGTGAAATATGTGAATTTCAAAGTTTTTGGGCTCAATACGAATCTGCTATACATAATAACTCTGCTTTAAAGGATGTAGACAAATTTAATTACCTCACATCTTTACTAACGGACGCAGCTTTAATGTCAATAAAGGGATTACCGTTAGTTGCCGAAAATTATGCTAAGGCAATAAATATTCTGAAAGAAAGGTTTGGTAGAAAGGACATTTTAATAAATGCACATATGAATCGTCTGCTGAATTTAAAGCCAGTTAAAAAAATAGATGATATTAAAACATTACGTAACTTATATGATAGCTTAGAAATTGAAATTAGAAGCCTTGATTCCCTTAATGTCACTTCGAATTCTTACAGCTATTTGTTATGCCCACTGTTAATAAGGATACTTCCTAGCGAATTGGTTTTAGAGTTTAATCGATCTTTAACCCCTGACACAGAAACCACAGTGACTAACATTTTGGAATTTCTGAAGAAGGAAGTTGAAAGCAGAGAGCGTACGTTTTTCCAAACATCGCCAAACTATTCCGAGTTTAACATTAGAACCGAACAACATAAACATCAATCGCGAGACCTTATTAAAAGTGAGAAATATCATCCTGCCTTCAAAAACAAACATTTTGTTCCAGCAGTTGCGTCATTGAATACGAATACATCAACAGCCGATTGTATATTTTGTGGGAAGATAGAAAATGAATCTTTGAAACATTCTACTTCAAATTGCGCAATTCCAATTGAGGAAAAAATCTAAAATTGGCTAACAGATGCTACTTATGCTTTCGTAGGTCTCATACATCTGCCCATTGCAGCTCAATATGTACGCTGTGATTTATGTTCCATTAAGGCATAATCTATTTTACATGATAATAAATTTGAAAATAAACGGGAAGTAAAGGTGAGCTTAAAACAGACACAGTGGTGCGTCAATTTCGGAAAGAGATAACAAAAATAAGGTTTATTTACAAACTGCAAATGCAAGTAGCTTTAGGTTAGAATAGAAGAAAAGAATGTAAGACTCATTTTCGATTCTGCCTCTCATAAATCTTTCATCCTGACAGAAGTATCGAACAATTAAAATTAAGTGTTGTGGGGAAGAAGAACTTCAGATTTACACACACCTTCTGCTCTACTGAGCCTACAGTTAAAAAGGCTAAAAAAGGTTAAGGTTATTCTTAAAGATATATGTGGATCTGGGAAAATAATAATTGAAGCTCTTGAAACTCCAGAAATTAATCAAGCTGTTATTGGTATGCCAGGAAAGGAAATACTTAATTATTGTAAGGAAAATTTGATAAGACTTGCTGATGCTACAGATATAGGTGTCCATAACTCTCAAATATCAGTATTAATTGGTAATGATTATTACTGGAAAATAGTCACTGGAAAAGTTACAAGATTATCAAAGGGTCTTGTTGCCTCTGAAACCTTATTTGGTTACACTATAAGTGGAACTGAGGCATTAAGTAATGTTTCTACACTTTGTTCCGGAATTACGGTAATGAATGTTGTTGAGAATATTTCACATGCACATGATTTGGAAATTAGTGCAGCTTCTAAAAAGGCTATGGGATTTAGATGCAATTGGAATACATGAACTATTCAAGCAAATGAAAATGACACTTGAAGTTATGCGTAGATTTGAAGAAACTATTGAATATACAAAACCAATCGTTATGAAGTTTTCATTACCCTTGTAAGGACAATATCAACAAAATGGGTAGTAATTATAACATCGCCTTAAACAGATGGAACAGTTTACTTAGAAAGGTTTAAGAAAAATCCTGAAATTTATGAACAAGTACTCAAGCGTAATTGAAGATTATCTAAATAAAGGAATAGCTGAAAAGTCTCCGAAGAATTCTGCAGAAAACATCTATTATTTGCCACACCATTGTAATCAGAGAAGATCACGATTCTACGAAATTAAGGGTCGTATTTGATGCTTCCTCGCATACTCATGACAGTCTATCTTTAAATGATTGCTTACATTCAGGACCAAATTTAAATGCTGAATTATTAGATTTGCTAATTAAATTTCGTCAACACAAAATAGCATTTGCTGCAGATATCGAAGCTGCTTTTCTACAAATTCTGTTGAAGCCTGAGGACAGAAATGCAGTAAGATTTCTTTGGACTTCAAAGGAAAAGGAGCAACCAACGATTTTAAGAATGACGCGTGTAATATTCGGAGCAACCTGTAGCCCCTTTTTACTAGCAGCAACTATAAAGCATCACGCAAGAAAGTTGAAAGCACAATATTCGAAGATCTGTCAGCTTCTTGAAGAAAATTTTTACGTAGATGATTTGATTCATGATACAGATGATGAAGAAGAAGCTGCAGAAATTTATGAAGATGTGAAAAGGTTTATGATGCTTGCTAGTTTCAATATGAGAAAGTGGAGGAGCAATAACGCCCAATTACATGCGATTTGGAATGCAGCTGAAAATACAAAGTTTAATGGAGACGGAATGAATAGCACTTTGTTAGGATATATTTGGAATCATGAAGCAGATAAACTGAAATTTCGAATCAAAGATGAATTACTCAAGGATCCGACTGAGGAAATAACAAAACGGAAGATTCTTCAAGTTGCGGGCGAACTATACGATCCTATCGGTTTCATATCTCCCTTTGTTGTTGCAGCTAAAATGATGATGCAAGATGTTGGCAAAGAGGTTACCAATGGGATGCACCACTTGATCAAGAATTGCAGAATCGATTTAAAACCTGGTATAATGAAATTCCTAAATTAAAAAATGTTGAAATTCCAAAGACATTATTTCAACAATCTGTCAAAAGGAAATCTGTCGAATATTCAATTGTACTGTTTTACAGATAGTAGCCAAAAGGGATATGGTGCCGTTGTATATTTGAGATACAATGAAAATGAGTTAACAAAAACATCATTTGTTATGTCCAAAGCAAGAGTTGCTCCCATAAAAAGGGTTACGTTACCTCGACTGGAGCTTTTAGGAGCAGTCATAGGAGCTCGACTCATCACATACATCCGACATTCGTTGAAAAACATAGAAATGAAGATTTATATGTGGGCAGATTCAGAAATTGTATTACACATTGGGTCAAACCTGATCCGACGAAATGGAAACAATTTGTTCGAAATAGGTGTCTAGAAATCCAAGAGAAAACTGATCCAGATTGGTGGAATTATTGTCCCAGCCATGAGAATCCTTCGGACTTATGATGACGAGAGGACAGAAGGTAGAAACCCTTTCAAAAAATGAGCTGTGGTGGTATGGCCCACCTTGGCTTGTCAAAGATAACAACGTTTGGCCCAGATCTTTCGAGAAATTTTAATGAAGATGATAAAATAACAAATTCTGAGAAACGAAAAGGAAAGAAGCAAGAAATTTAACAGCAAACTGTATTGTTGAAAAAGCGAACCTATCATTCCTATCGAGAACTTTAGTGACATAAAAAAGTATATAGAATAACATCTTATGTTTTCAGATTTATCAATAATTTGAAAAACCCAAAACTAAGAAGAATT